CAATTTGTCCGTTGTCTGTCGTTGTTGTCGTCGTCGTTGTCGTCGTCGTCGTCGTTGTAAACTTTTCACATTTTCATCTTCTTCTCAAGAACCACTGGACCAATTTCAACCAAACTTGCCATAAAGTATCCTTAGGTGATGGGGATTCAGGTTTGTTCAAATGAAGGGCCATACTCTCTTACAAGGGGAGATAATTAAGAATTAGTGAAAAATTAATGGTGTATTTTAAAAATCTTCTTCTCAAGAACCACTGGGCCTGGAAAGATGAAACTCATAGTGAAGTATCGTCAGGTGGTGTAGACTCAAATTTGTTCAAATCATGACCTCTGGGGCAAGGGATGGGCCGTAATGGATGAGTAAATTTTACATAAGAATACATCAGAAAACCTTAAAAATTTAAAAATCTTCTTCTCCAGATCCCATAAGCAACAGAGCTGTGTTTAGTATCATTAATATGCAAGCAACCTTCTGTAGTGCGCATTCAATTTTGTCTAACTTATGGCCGTACGAAATTATATCAACATATTAGGTTTACCTTTGTTTATTTTTTTTCCGATCGGGCGCGGTGTACGAAATAAATGAAAACGAGGCTTCAGCCATTTTTGATGTGGACGGCGAAGAAGTACTTGAAGTTGGGTGTGAAGTTTGGTGTTTATACAGTCTGAAACAAAAGTATTCATTGCTGATTGTTGTTTTCATTATGTAAGGTTTGAAGAGTAAATGATTTAGCTGAATAATTACAACCTTGCGTATATTTGTTCATGTAGCATTAATTTGTTATTATGCAGTGTTTAGGCACATACTGCGCAGTTGAAGTTTCTCGGAGAAAAGTAACACGGAGAAAAACAAGTCCATTTAGATACTGCTACATTTTACTAGTATTAAAGAAGATTGAGAAGATGATCTTTTTTAAAATTTACTTACTTGATGGAAGCGTAATAGTTTGTCATTGCATAATACAAATAGACGAATTTTACATTTCCAAGAGTTAACTCCCGTTGTCAGCGACACACTCCTTTTCCCTCTGTCTTTGTCATTTGTAAGTTACTTGTTAATATTTTAATCTTCAAACATTATTGGACAATTTCGATCTGTACCTGTATTGCAAGAGTATGTTTACATGTAAATTATGAACATATTCATACAGATTTTATTACTAAGATACTGTCCTATAAAGTTGGTAAGGTTATAGAGGGAAAACAGTGCCTTACGCCGGTTGACCCCGGATAGTCCCCACAAAGGGGAATAACTTTTGTAAATGTGAAAGTCGTCAACAGGGACAAGACTTGCATATAGGTACACCTGTCATCGGGACGTGTTTATAAAGGATAACTTATTGTTAGTAAAAGTAGCAGTACATATAAAATACATGGTTTCTGTCTTGAAATATAAGCGATATTTGGGCGAGGGTAAGAAAACATGATAGAGGGCGAGGCTTGCCGAGCCCTCTTACGTTTTCGACCCAAGCCCAAATGTTGCTTATATTTCAAGACAGAAACTATGTATTTTGTTAATCCTGCAACAAAATTTTACATTTGAGCGTCCAAAACAAGCTAATTCCGACAGATTTAGGCACATCTCTGCAGTTGAAACTATGATGCCATGGCGTAAACACCAGTATACTTGACGTCACAATGCTTTTGAATATCGGAATACATGAACGAGGCTTTATTAGGGCAGTGACTGGATAAAGCTTTGGTTTTAAATATTAGGTTACCTTTATTAGGTCAATGCAAGGGGTGGTTGCAGGATAAAAAGTGTTTATTTAAGTTTGCAGAAAGAAAACTCATACATAAATCGTGATTTTGTGTCAATTCCGGAGATGAGGAAGGAATATCACCTACACAGGTTCTCGAGTAACAATTGGCTAAAATAAAGCTTAGTAGTGTGTTTAAAATGATAAAAAAAAGACAACAGTAGAATAAAAAGACTATAGATCTACATGCAGTGCATTATTGTTTGATGGGCATTTTTCATAAAAAAAAAATTAAAAGGAAGGTCTTATTTTCATACCATATATGATTTTACCATTCTGCCTTTTACATAGCACTTGTTCTTTGTTTTATATTGTACATTGTACTTGTTTTTTTTTTTGTTACATGTAAAGTGCTTTAGGGCAATTACATTATTAGATAAGGTGCTATATAAAAGTAGAATAATGATAATGTGGTATATATAATTAGCAGTCTGATTCAAGTTCTAGTGATGGGAAATCAGAAAAAAAATTAGAATCAATTATCGGTAATAATCTGCTGGGCATAATTGTTTAATAATGAACTATAATCGAAATTTTTAAATTCAAATAAACACAGAAAAGTTCAACTTAATCTTAAATGTTTATAAATTTTTCTTTTAATAATTGAAAGTTGGAAATAATATTTTGTTAACTTTAAACAACGCGGTATATCATGATGTATTGAATCAGAATGGGAACCATTAATATTTTTGAAAATTTGCATTCAATGGGTATATTACTGATATTAGTCCCATCTTTCATTAGTATGACTACATGTATTATTTTTTTGGGATTACAAGGTTTAAAAGTAGTTATCCAGAAATAAGACTTGTATTTTTCACAAATGTGTTTTACGGTGTGACCATTTGGGCAGGCGCAGTTGTACCTTAAAAATACATCTGATTCAGAAATGTTGATCTGCCACTTCAAATGTCAAGTCGCATGATCGAGACATCTAGATTATGTCACACGAGAGATCGTCAGGGTTAACGGAAACAGCCAAGTGTCTAGTTGAAACTAATAGACCTAGTCGAAAGACATTGCAGAGTTATTATTTATTTCTTTTTAAGATTTCTATATACTGGAAGTCTTTTATGCCTTATGTTATAATTTATTTGTGCAAAGAGTATTGGGTAGCAAAGGAATTTTGGGAAGGTGTCACAACATATGCTTGAATGACATATGCACAGATTTTATTCCGAATTTCCTCTGTTCTTACACATTAGTCTAGCTTGCTTTGCGACCCTTGCTGCACTCACTATAATTACATTTACAGATTGTCTAGACTAATAATGTTTTCTTTTGTATAGTAAAACCTTGCACTGGCTTGCAGTATTGTCCATTTCCTGTTATTAGACTGACCCCATATTCAATCCTAGCAGTATAAAATTTAATCCAGAATATAGTGTTCATTCAGGACCTAAATCAAACTTCATACATTTAAACAAGAGTCAAAATATTTACCCTAAATAGCAAAGTAATAAACATATTTTTATGCGCCCAAATTTTTTCGGGGCGCATATTGTTTTTGTCCTGTCTGTTTGTCTGTTTATCTGTTTTTCTGTTTGTCTGTTGTCAACTTTAACCTTCGCCAAAACTTTTGAACCGTAAGAGATAGAGACTTCATATTTGGTATGCATACTCCTCTAATAAAGTTCTTTCAAATGACATCAAGGTCAATGACCTTGTGACCTTGACTGTGAACTATATGCAAAAATAGCTTTTTCCACTGTTTGCCATAACTTTTGAACCATAGGAGATAGGGACTTCATATTTAGTATGCATACTCCTCTAATAAAGTTCTTTCAAATGACATCAAGGTCAATGACCTTGTGACCTTGACTGTGACCTATATGCTAAAAATAGCTTTTTCAACTGTTTGTCATAACTTTTGAACCATAAGAGATAGAGACCTCATATTTAGTATGCAATAGCAGCATACTCCTCTAATAAAGTTCCTTCAAATGACATCAAGGTCAATGACCTTGTGACCTTGACTGTGACCTACGGTATATGCTAAAAATAGCTTTTTCCACTTTTTGCCATAACTTTTGAACCATATGACTTCTTATTTAGTATGCATACTCCACTAATGAAGTTCTTTCAATCAACATCAAGGTTAATGACCATGTGACCTTGACTGTGACCTATATGCTAAAAATAGCTTTTTCCACTTTTTGCCATAACTTTTGAACCATAGGAGATAGGGACTTCAAATTTAGTATGCATACCCCACTAATTAAGTTCTTACAAACAACACCAAGGTCAATGACCTTGTGACCTTGACTGTGACCTATATACTAAAAATAGCTTTTTCGAACTTTGTTGACGCGGGGCACATAGTGTTTCACAAACACATCTTGTTCATTATTGAAGACTTCCAACTTTCTGAGTGGTTGACTATAAAAACAAAAAATTGGCATATTTTACAGCGATATTTCGACGAGTTTGCACACGGGTGATAAGTAAAGACAAGATCACCTGTGGATTTCCGACGATGATGTACACACAGTCCTCGATAAACAAGATAAAAAAGTTCTATAAAACTTAATGAAATACCACAATGGTTATTTATTTAATTTGGATTATTGCACAAAAATTATGCCAGTAAATGTTGTATACATTTATATGGTACATATAATTTCTGGAAATGTGTGACACATGTTCAAGGTAAGTCTTGTGTGAAAATGGTTTACAAATTGCATGTAACTTGCGTCTCTCTTAAAATGATTGATTGATTGTTATTTTACAACCCTCTGAATTTTTCACTCATATGAGATGCCACCACTTGCAGGTGGAGATTTACAAATTTTGTCCTATACTTGGCACTCAGGGCCATTGAGAGCAGTGAGGGATCTTTTTCATTCCAGCACTTACAGAGAAATAGGACCTCTGTTTATGCGGTCTTGTTAAAAGGACCAGTCTCCACATTCCACAGTGGGATTCAACCAGCGAACTAAGGATAAACTCCTTAGTTTGTGCCTTTAGAGCAGACGCTCGTATCACTGCGCCACATGAGTGACCTCTTTAAATGAATGTTGTCATATGTTTTGCATGTAATTTTGAATTAAACTTTCAGGTTTTAAATTTTTTCAACTTTCTGCTTTTTTAAATTTGATTTGTGCTTCAAACTTTAATTAAGTATATATTTTTAAAAGTATCTGCATTGTAGTTTCCAACAACTGCTCTCTAATCTGAAAGTGTCAGTGATGGCAGCATTATTAATTTGAGAATGAACATTGTTCGATTTTTTGTAGATCAGAGAATGCCTAGGAAGAAGAGCTGGAAGAAAGCTGCGGTAAAGAAAAACGCATGTAAGGCAGATGTGGGTGACAAGTACCCCACAGATGTTGGCCACGTCCAACTGTCTGTGCCTCTGGGTGTAGGCCACGTCCTAACACCTATGACATCTGTACCGGCAGGGGTGATCTCTACCACCCCTGTGACAGTGGTCTCTGCGGCTCTCCCTGAGACCACTTTGACTCAAATTTTGCCTCTGGCTCAAACTATGCCTCAAATGTTGCCTCTGGCTCAAACTATGCCTCAAATGTTGCCTCTGGCTCAAACTATGCCTCAAACGATTACTCAGAATTCATCTCAGTTGCTTCCTCAGAATATCTCTCAGATTACAACCCAGAATATTACTCCGTTTACAATGAACAATATACCAAATGAAACAACACATGCACTGCAAGGTAATTGTATGCATCAGAATTTAGATAATCTGGTGTTTGGATCTTTCCATCAGGGAAGCATGAGGTTTTCGTCATTTTCAAGAGGTAATCAGTGTACATGCAATTCGCTTATGATGTTGTCAAATTCATATGAAAATTTTTCATTTACTAGTTCCTTTTTAGATCAGACTCTGCTCAAGGGAGATAATTTGTACAACACAGTTGTGAAGAATCTTCAGAGTGCTGGAAAACTTAAAAGTAGATTACTGATGTTTGATGAATTACCAATTCATATTGATTCTGGTGAAAATCACCACATGGTTGATAAGTTTGATACATTGTTTGGCTTATTAGTTACAGATGATAAGAACAATCAAATTCAAACTCTACATGAATGTCTGCGACAGGCATTGGGGTTATCTAGGTATGTATTAATAATGATTGGCTCAATATGTTCGGCACTGTACAAAGATTCAGACAATGATTTTTATTTTTTTGACTCACATTCTCATGGGGAAAATGGTTTGTCTGCATGTGATGGAAAGTCTCTGATGAGACACAGTTGCTGCTTAGATGATTTGTTAGGATTTTTGTATGCTATGTATGAAAGTATGCACATTGAATTTGCAACTGAATTTGAAGTGATGCCTATTGCGTTTCGTACACTTATTCATAGCTTCCCTAGTAAAAATCAAAGTACACATCAATATTGTAGATTAGATCAGTTAACAACAAATGCTCTCACAAACAAACAGTCTGCTGGTACCAATACTGGTCACTTAAAAACAACAACGATAAAGAAAGATAAAAAGGATTACATGAGAGAATATATGAGAAACAAGAGACAGGATCCAGAGTTTAAAAGCAAGGAAATGAACAGTATGAGAAACAAGAGACAAGATCCAGAGTTTAAAGACAAGGAAAGAGACAGTAAGAGAAACAAACGACAGGATGCAGAGTTTAAAGTCAAGGAAAGGGACAGTAAGAGGAACAAGAGACAAGATGCAGAGTTTAAAGGAAAAGAGAGGGACAGTAAGAGAAACAAGAGACAAGATCAAGAGTTTAAAGTCAAGGAAAGGGACAGTAAGAGAAATAAGAGACAGGATCCAGAGTTTAAAGACAGGGAAAGGGACAGTAAGAGAAACAAGAGACAGGATCCAGAGTTTAAAGACAACGAAAGAGACCGTATGAGAAACAGACGACAAGATGCAGAGTTTAAAGGAAAAGAGAGGGACAGTAAGAGAAACAAGAGACAAGATCCAGAGTTTAAAGTCAAGGAAAGGGACAGGAAAAGAGACAAAAGACAAAATCCAGTGTTTAAAGACAAGGAAAGGGACAGTAAAAGAAACAAGAGACAGGATCCAGAGTTTAAAGACAATGAAAGAGACCGTATGAGAAACAAACGACAAGATGTAGAGTTTAAAGGAAAAGAGAGGGACAGTATGAGAAACAAGAGACAAGATACAGAGTTTAAAGACAAGGAAAGGGACAGTAAGAGAATTAAAAGGCAAGAAGAAGAGTATAGGCATGATGAGCAAAAAAAGGATTTAAAGAAGAAAAGAGAAATGAGACAAAATCCTACCCAGTTAGAAAAAGAGAGATTGAAGATGAAAGAAAAGAGGAAAAATGAAGAATATAGATCCTCAGAAAACATTGCTGCAAAACAATCAAAAGCACACTCACGGGGGAATTTGGACTATATTGAAACTGAAAAACAAAGATACAGAAAAAGTAAATTTGGAGTTGATGCAATTGAGTGTGTTGACAATTTTCACAACAATGTAAGATTGGGTCCTGTGTTTGTATGCACATGTTGCCAACAGACATGGTTTCATGAAAGTGTTTCAAATGTAGATAATGTTTTGTTGGATGCTGAAATCAAAAGGAAGTATTTTACTAATACAAAGTCTGTAAACGGGCATGAATGGATATGCAACACATGTAATTCAAGTTTAAAAGAAAGTCGAACTCCAAAACTCTCTATTGCAAATGGAATGATATGGATTCAAAAACCAAGTGAATTGAATCTGTTACCATTGGAAGAAAGACTTGTATCCTTAAGAATTCCTTTCATGCAGATAAGAGAATTACCAAGAGGAGGGCAGTATTCTGTAAAAGGAAATGTTGTAAATGTGCCAGTTGACATTCAACCAACAATCAATAGTCTTCCCAGGAGACTTGATGAAAATATTACAATACCTGTGAAGTTAAAAAGAAAACTATCTTTTCAGCATTCTTATTGTCATGAAAATATCCGACCTACAAAGGTTCTGATAGCTTTACATTGGTTAATGAAAAACAGTGAATTTTATCAGAATTCAAACATAAATGTAGATGACAACTGGTTCCATGAGGTCACGAATTCCGCAAACGAATTAATGAGAGAGTTTATAGAGGGTCACACCAATGAAGATTCAGCAATGCTTGACCAATCAGATGAATCAGACTCTGATGAATTCTGTGAAGTTGATAGCAGTGGTAAGGATGGAAATTGTGATACTCTACTAGACAGTGACTCATATGATATGAATCAGATCTTCACATTTGCTCCAGGAGAGGGACAACGTCCACTTAGTTTGTATCAAGATCAAATGGCTGAGTATTTGTCATTTCCAACAATATTTTGTGGTAAAGGAAGAGTAGAAAATGATCAGCGTCAAGTACCTGTTTCATATGCTGATATTGCCAAGTGGGAATTACGAAGTGTTGATAGACGTGCTGCACAGTCGGTACCAAATTTGTTCTTCAAATTGAAAAAGATTCAACTAAAACAGGTAACAGACAAATGCAATTTAGCTCTAAGGAAGTGCAAAACAAAGGGGAAAACCTTTACTGCAAATGAAATAAGAAATCCTGATCAAATTAACAGCATTGTCAGACACAATGAGGGATTTTATGTTTTCAAACAGTTGAGAAATTCTCCTCCTTATCTTGAAACAAGAAAGAAAGATGTTTTTGCAATGATACGACAGCTTGGTCTACCAACTTGGTTTATGTCCTTTTCTGCTGCAGATACACGTTGGAATGATCTGATCAGAGCACTAGGAATTTTAAACGATGACAAACAGTACACAGATTCTGAAATTGAGAGCATGACATGGACTGAAAAGTCAAAGTTAGTTCAGAAAGACCCAATTACATGTACAAGGTATTTTGATCATCGTTTTCGGACTTTTTTAAATACTGTGCTTAAGAGTGATCATCATCCTATTGGCAAGATACAAGACTTTTTCTATAGAGTTGAATTTCAACAAAGGGGATCACCACATGTTCACATGATTGTTTGGATTGAAAATGCTCCAAAATACTTAGAAAATGATAACAAGGAAATTGTTGCATTTGTCGACAGCTACTTGAAGTGTGAAAGGAATACAGAAGACAATTTGACAGAATTGCAAGTTCATAAACACTCACAAACATGCAAAAAGAAAGGAAAGTCTGTTTGTAGATTTGGATTTCCACTCCCACCACTCCAAGCTACTATGATATTGGAACCTTTGGACAGTGACATTGAGAAATACAAGAAAATGCATAAGACTATGCAAGACAAAGTGAATGACTTAAAAAATGGATGTGACATAAGCTGCACTTTCCAAGACTTTTTGCAGAATGTACTACAGCTATCTGAAGATGATTATATAAAATGCATCAGAAGTTCTTTGAGAACACCCAAGGTATTTTTAAAACGTAAACCATGTGACTTGAGAGTGAATGCTTACAACAGTACTCTTCTTCATGCATGGGCAGCAAACATTGATATTCAGTATGTTTTGGATCCCTATGCTTGTGCAATGTACATTGTCTCATACATAAGTAAATCCCAAAGGGGCATGAGTGATCTGCTGAGTAGAGCTGCAAAAGAAGCAAGAGAGGGCAATCTTGACATTAAAAGACAAGTTAGACACATTGGAAATCAATTTCTTAACAGTGTTGAAGTTGGAGCACAAGAAGCAGCATATCTAGTTTTGCAAATGCCCCTTACAAAAGCATCAAGAGATGTAATGTTCATAAACACATCTCCAGTTGATGACCGTGTAATACTTGTCAAACCTGATTCAGAACTCGAAAAGTTGAATGCTGATTCCACAGACATAGAATGCAGTAACATAGTCAAAAGATATGCAAAACGTCCAAAACAACTTGAAAACTGGTGTTTAGCTGACTATGTGTCACAGTTAGATGTTGTTTTCCCAAAGGAAAGTAGAACTGAGCTGTCTGAAATGGAAACAAATGATGATGACAGGCACCAGTCAGAAAATGAAGAAAGTGGAACTGATACTGAGGATGAATTTAAAGCTGACAGCACATTAGTTGTTTTGAGAAATGGAATTAAAATTAAGCGTAGAAAAACACCAAGAGTTATAAGATATGTGCGTTATAGCCTAAAGACAAACCCAGAAAATTACTATAGAGAAAAACTAATGCTCTTCACTCCATGGCGAAATGAATGTTCTGATCTTCTGTGTGGACATCAGAGCTTTGAGCAGTCATTTAACCAGAAAAATTTTTTCTTAGCTCAGAAAATTAAACAGTATGAACACAATGCTGATATGCTTGAGCAGGCAGAACAGATGGCACAGGATGATTTGACAGAAGCATATGATGAATTAGCTCCTGGTGCTCAACAAACTGATGCAGATGATGAATATGAAGGAAATGTTGATTCTGAAACATTTGTTCACTTTAATCCAGAAAGACCAATTGAACAGAGAGAGTATGATATAGGAAGTGATGTTGGAATTCCATCAACAAGACAACTGAATGAGCAGAGTTCTGTTAGATTACCTGATGATGAGTATTTAAAGCTTGTAGCCGGTTTAAATTTGAAGCAACGTGAATTCTTCAATCATGTTATGCAATGGATCAAGTCTAAAAAGGAACCTATTCATGCATATCTGTCAGGAGGTGCAGGAGTTGGGAAGTCGGTGTTAATCAGAGCACTTTATCAAGCTTTACATCGGTACTTATGTGCTAAGGAGGGTGAAAATCCAGATGATATACGAATTCTTCTTTGTGCATTCACTGGTAAAGCCGCATTTAACATCGGTGGTCAAACAATTGCTTCTGCATTTCACCAGAAAATTAACCAAAGGCAGCAAAATATGCATTGTGATGAACTCAACACATTTAGAACTAAATATAGAAATTTGTCAGTAGTCATCATAGATGAAATTTCAATGGTTGGCAATGCAAAGTTGGAATTTATCAATGACAGACTTCAGCTTCTTACTGGTTTGAAGAGGCCATTTGGAGACATTAGTATTATTGCTGTTGGAGATTTCTTTCAACTTAAACCAATCATGGATGGCTGGATTTTTCAAGATTTAAAACAAAATGCCCAAGCACTTGCATGTAATCTTTGGAAAGAAAACTTCACCTTATTTGAGTTAGATGAAGTAATGCGACAAAAGGATGATTTAGAATTTGCTCAGCTTTTGAACCGTCTTCGTCACAATGAGATGACTTCTGAGGACTTGGATATAATTCACAGGTGCATCATTGCTGAAAATAGTCCAAATTATCCAAACAATGCTCCCCATCTTTTCACAATGAATGCGAAAGTAGATGAATATAACAATAAACTTATAGAGCAACTTCCTGGTGAAAAAGTCATTGTAAAAGCTGTTGACAGTGTCCTCCAAGACCACAGTAAGACTGTGAAAGACCGACTACTCAGATCATTGCAAAATCAAGATGATGTAAGCAAAACTGCAAATCTCATGACAAGACTAACTCTAGCCATTGGAATGATATATGATATTACAGTTAATATTGATGTTACTGATGGCTTGACAAATGGTTCATCATGTACTGTATTTCTTGTTGAAAACAGATTACCTGGTGTATCAAGGCCAAGTATAGTGTGGGTGAAGTTTTTAGATTCTGCAGTAGGGAGAATTGCTCGACAGAAATACAGACATCTTTTCCATGATGATGTTATGGATGATTGGACACCAATATTTGACTGTCAGCGATCTTTTGTTTTCAATTCAACTACATATCAAAGAATACAGTTTCCTTTAAGACCAGCTGCTGGTAAGACAATTCATAAGGCACAGGGCTGCACTGTTGATGAAATTGTAGTAGATTTGTCTCAGTCAAGGATAAGGAAAACACCCCACATTCATTATGTAGCTCTTAGTAGAGTTAGATCTGTTGACAAGTTGCATATTCTGAATTTCAATGAGCAAGCATTAACTGTTGATGAAAAAGTTGTAGAAGAAATGGAAAGAATGAGGAAGGAAGCACCTCTAAAACTGTGTTATCTTCCATTGTACAAAACAGAGCAGAACAAACTAAAAATTATGTTTCATAATGCAAGATCTCTTCACAAACATTTCAATGAAATTAAAAATGAACCCAATGTTGTAGCATCAGATGTTATTGGTTTTTCAGAAACAAGATTAACCATCAACGATGAACAGAATTTTATGATGGAAGGTTACTTGACTTTGTTCAATCATGAAAAGAGAAGTGACAGCAATCGTCCTTATCATGGAACAGCATTATACGTTAAACAAGACCATTTGATGACATGTATCTCAAAATTCAGCAACACTTTGCTTGAATTCATCATAGCTTTAATAAATTTCAGAGACCTTGGAGAAGTGCAAATAGTTGTTTTATACAAGTTCCCAGCATGTTCTTTTAAAGAATTTGAACGTGAAGTTATGTTGCACTTAAAACCTTTTGTAGACACAGAGAAAAAATTCATAATTCTTGGAGATTTCAATTTTGATTTGTTTACAGGTCACAAAGAATTTCTGAACTTTATGAATTTGAATTTAAAATGCACACAATTGGTAAAAAAGGTAACTCATGATTCAGGTTCACAACTTGATTTGATTTTCACAAACTTCCCTCATTGTGAAACTGATGTGATTGAGGCATACTGGTCAGACCATAAAATGATTTACTGTACATATACTTTATAAATTTGATATAAGGGACGCATGAGAACTTATTTGGGGGAGATATATCATCTTGTCCCCTCTCCCACCTACCAATGTGCCAGTGTCACTTAGTGACATTTGGTACATTGATTACTGTATACAGGGTTATATTTGCCCTGGCTGTGTTATTTTCAGCCTTTCACACAATTTTGCAACATTTTAAATTCTCCCCAGTCACAGTTTTATTGAAGAAATCATACTGTGTTCTTTAAATTTACCCCGTTTTAAATTTGTCTATACCTTTAGCAGTGGGAAAAATAAAATGGGGCAAATATTTCCCTGTATACAGTATCTTATAGGCACCAATTACTTGATGTAAAATCTTTGTTTTAGGCATATGTATACTTTAAACTGTTTTTTGTATGCATGCATGGAATAGCCAATAAAATTTGCAAACAACTCATTAATGATCACAAAACAATTGTACTTAACAGGAATCCTTCATTGTGACTTTTTATTGTGGATTAATTTTCAACAGACAATTAATAAATGTACAAAATAATTGAATGTTGCATATTAAGGAAAATTCATGTACCATCAATGACAATTATTCATGTAAAAAAAAATGATGATCATTTTAGCATGTTATGTGTCAATTAATATTTATATGAATTATGAATATACTGTATTGATGTTTGTGAGTTAGTTTTACCCTATACTGTTTAGATTCTTTTCTCTAATGATGCATGAATATCATGAACTTGATATTTGGAATATACATGAAATATTTTACATGAAATTTATGAGATTATATGAATTGTTTACAAAGTTTACCGTAATTTAAAGATATTAATGAGTTCTGCTTAAGTAATGATTAGAGTTGTACTAGAAATATACACTTGCATCAAGTAATTGGTATCTTTGATATATGTTCAACATTGTATTCTATAGTTTTATGAAGTAAATTCACGAATATTATCTGTTCATGAAAAAATTGCTGTATATAAATATTGTAAGTTTATTAATGTTACTATGTCTTGTGTCATTTAGTCCCTGCACAACAATACTGGAGTACATGAGAGTATAAACTTTTACAGTGTATATATGAATTAATATTTTTTCCAGAGCAAATGTAATAAAACAATTTCAGTATCAATATTCTTATCATACATGTAATCCAAGTCTTCATGTAATTTATCATATATGTAATCCAAGTCTTCATGTAATTACTTTATAATCAAGCTTATGCAGTATTCTAGATATCACAATTGTTAAGGCTTTAAACAAGCTGACCAATAAATGCAACAAAAAATGAAATACTTGCAAGTGTTTATACAGATCTCCCAGAAATTAGATTACTGATCATGGCCATCCACCATACTTATTGATTTTTGTTTAGAATGACTTAAATTGTTTATTCTTGTAGATGAAATGGAATTTGATACATGAATTTTGAAAGCACAGCTCTGTTAGAGATTTTTTTTATACATATCATTTACATCATTTTGTTTTGAAATAATGTTCATTGTATATATGATTGGCATATATTTGTGTTGAAATATTTTGAGTTGATTATTTATCTTTTTTGATTTTTTGTCTTAAAATGTTTAAGTTAATTGTATTTTTATATTTCAAAACATTCAGAAATTGCTTTAAACATTAAATTTTACCAGCTTTAGTTACCTGTGTAGAATAGGAAAGCAATAACCTGCATAATCAGAGAGAAACTCCAGTTACCTCTATATTAATTGAATCATTTCATTTTCTCCAGCATTGAGATATTTAATATGTGACCACCATTATAAAATAATATAATGAGAATCGACTATATATTAAAAACTTATACCCAGGTAAGTATGAAAAGAGGGGGTCAATGGACAGCCCGTAAAGGGAGGTAAACCTACCTCTTTATAACATTACAATTTTTCCTATAAAAGAGAGGAAAAAAAAGGTGGATCACTATAACTTCTCATGACTGGTCTTTAAAATCAAAATTATTGATTTCAAAAAGATGGTAATCATTCCATTTTGGAATATTACCATCAAGTTTAGGTAATCTGATTCCTGCAGGTACTGCAAGTAAATGTTACTTATTAAAAATCCTTAAAAATTAATAGTTGATATTCAAAGTCAGAGTCTGTTGACCATCATATAATTATTCACTTTCGGTTGCATTCTTTCCAGTTTTTGCTTTCGTTATGTATAGGAAAGATTCACTATTAAGTGAACTTAAACATGAATACAGTGTATTTCGTATTTTCCAAATGATTACTTTGATGTATTGAACTCTCCTCTAAACAAATGTTTTCACTGTTTACAATTTGCACCCATGTTTACATGTAATGTTATTTTGCATTTCTGTCACAAAATTGTTGCAATATTGCATATTTGATACTGTGTGCATATATTTCTGTTGAAGTCTTATGAAATTTAGATAGTTGATTGTTATTAATGCTTCTAGTTTTTATTATATTATCTACTAATTGTCTGATAAATTTTTACTAAATCTGTTGAATTTTTTTAAAGAAATAAAAGTAAAATCTTACTCACATTTTCTGTTTTTATTATAACTATCATAGCTAATGTTACATCCCCCAAAAAGGAGAGAAATGTTATTGTTCAATAAAAGCATATTAGAGTTCAGAGTTGACGGTACAAGTGTTATATTCTGCAAAAAAACTGAGATTAACTTCTTTATGACTAAATTGATAATGAGGTAGGCATTAAGCACTGGTTGAAAAGAAAGCCATTCTTGGCAATTTTATGCTTACATCAAGGCTCAAGCCTAATTAAAGTAAATGAATAAAAAGAGGAAGTCCGTACTCTAACATCTACATGCATAATTCTTGCAAGTAAAGGTCTTTCACTCAGGTGAGCGATGTGGCCCCTGGGCCTCTTGTTTTAGCTTGTAAAGAAATGTCCGGGTTCCCCGGATAATTTTCCTGGATCGGTGACTGCATTAATTATAAATAATTTAATGTAATCCCTTTTAAGATTTGTACATGATTCTTGTTACCCGGATTCGTGCGCGGATCTAGAGGGGGTGGGTTAGGACCCCACCCCCCACTCCTTGAAATATCATCTGAATTTGCGGATTTCTGTTAATCAGTTTTAAATTGTAAACTTGTATTCAATATTACCTTATAAGTTTTACTTGACAAGTATTTTATTCAAATCACTGCATCCTATATAACAATCATATGACTAAGAAATACGTGAAAACTGAGGGATTCCCTTTATTACTACAGTCGACATAAAAAAAAACTTTTATACTGATTAGCTTTATTTGATCAGAACTTTACGCATCCGACTTTGAACTCGAACAGGATACCAGTTCAGTGAAAAAAGTAAATTACATGTTGAGCAGCTCATTAACGCATCCGACTTTTTAATTATTAAATATCTCTCTAGCCAAGACCCCCATTATTAAATTTCAAAGATAATATAAGTGTTGTACATAAAATACCGGGTATTTACAATGATCGAAGGAGAGCGGACTCTGTGTGAACATATTAATAGGGTGAACAGACCCAATATATTACATGTAAGGGAGACCCCAGGCCTAATATTGTTCGAAGGTTGATATGGGTTGTGATATAAATTTTGATACATATTATTCTTTTGATCTTAAATTTGAAAATACGTATACATGTATATAATCATGAATATTATTCCGAATATGTGCACTTTTCGATAAATAAGCATCTACGTGCTTGAGTTTCTGTTTCACATCAATTCATTTATATGCAATTCATTTAGTAAATGTGTCATAGAAAAAATAAAAGAATTAGACATTTTTACAACGATATATATTTGATATTTTATGTTTTAAGCAGTTGACAATAAGACAGGTCCAAGGTGAAAGTGGGTATTCTTCCTACTTTCATAGTTTTGAAGAATAGATTATATTTCTTGCCAACCTTACCCCCTTTTTTAAAACGACCTGTTGCTAAGATTGAGTGCAAGTTGTCATCTAAAGAAGATACAAAGACCATTTTTTAAAAATCATATTACTTAGGAATGATATTAATAATTTTTTTTTCATTTTAATCTCAGGTGAAAATAGCATTGTTTCGAGAGAGGGAAAAAAAATTGCATGCATACTCGTGAGGATATCACTTTTTTCATGTCCTAATGCATTGAACGGTCGCCTCTCTTAAATTATATATATTTTTATGTAGAATTGATTATGTGTTCGTTCATTTATTCAAGAAAAACAAAACAACAATTTTGGATAGAACCTTTTAAATCTGAAGTCCCCAACTCTAGATCGGCGCATCTACATGTACAGAAGGTTCAATAATTCGCCACATATATCATGAGGTCTAGGTTCTTGAAATGTTTTCAACTATAAATATATACATTTGTGGTATTTTTCCACTATATAAACATAAAGAGAGAAAATATCTTCAATTCTGTATGAAGTTTGTCGGAGGTCAGAGGTCAATGCATGGCCGATGTAACGTTGAATTTTGACCCGGGTTGAAAATTGACCCGGGGGTCATTTTTCAACGTTGAATGCTGAGACCAAAGGTGTTGAATTTAGACCCTAATCCGTTGAAAACTGAGCCGGGTCGTGGAATTTTGATCATAAAACCGGTTCAAAATTCAACAGCATAATTTATGATTGGGTTTTCACTACTGTGATTTAATTCATAGGTATGAGGCCCCGTTTTGGTATTTACTGCAAAAAGTAGTATCCCCTATTTGAATAAGTGATATCACCTGTTCCAATAGATGATATCACCTATTTGATTTGAATTTGTGATATCACCAATTCGAAAAGGTGATATCACTTATTTGAATTAATGATATCACTTATTCGATTGGGTGATATCACCTTTTCCCGTCGAACAGCTGTAGTTTTTTTTTTTTGCTTACAAATTAATTTATTTCACTTATATATCATGTATACAACAAGAAAATCGTAGGAAATGCATGAAAACTGGGTAGTCCGAATTTTCTTGGTTCCAGTGTAGTATAATATATATTATAGGGAGCATTCATTAATGACTGTTGTAAGAAACTCAAAAAGGTAATATCATCTTTTCGAATAGGTGATACCACTTATTCAAATAGGTGATAGCATCTATTTAGCACGAAAAGCTGATATCACCTTTAATTCTAAGCTCTCTGATTGGCTCAAACTTGATCACATGATTTAGTATATAACAGCATAAAGACTTGAGTTACTATTTATAGAATCTGAAATGCATATTGACTTCATGTTTTTTTTCTTGTGATCATATAGTTTACTATATTGCAGGAGTCCTTTTAGAAAATTTCATCAAAGTGAGTGGAACCCCCCCCCCCTCCCTGCCTGGAGATAATTTTTTGTAAAACAGAAATAGTATTGATTTCTCAATTAAAGAACAGAGTATGACTTGATGTTTCTGAAAAAAAAATTACTACAACTTGTATTAATATTCTTTAATGTTCCGTAATTGGTGAGACGTATCAATGCCTTTAAGTCTTGAATTAGGATCAAAATGTACTTTATATTAAAACATATTGGATATCTTTGTCAAAAATTGATACAAGACATAATCAATTAAATAAATTGGTATTCTGAATAACTAAGTCCTCCTTAATTACTCTATCAATGTATAAAACGAAACACATTTATTTAATATTAAATAGCAATAGCTTAATTTATGCTGATCTCTAGTCTCTAAGTCTTGAAGAGAGAAAACTTCTGCCTTCTTCCCAATATTTTCAAATTTTGTTTTGTCAATCTATGTGATAAAATGATTTACGAGGGTCGTTCAATAAATAATGCAATGCTCAGTATATCATAGTAAATGTTGAGGCATTTGATTTTATTTTTTCATATTTGAAAAGTTTTATTTAAGATCTACTAAAGACAGAAAACCCACCGAATTTTCATAGTGTCTTCGCAAAGATATTCATTTTTAAGCGGTTAGCTTCGCTAGCCGCTATATGGCATGTGTCGGCAACCGGAAACCTCCATAAGGCGCTACCTATCGACAACAGAAACTTCAACAAAGCCTCTACCAATGATTTGTTTCTAACACATATAACATATGTTAAATAAAATCAAGACTATCAAAACAACATAATCTTTCGGATTTTAATTTTTATCTGATTTTGTTTGTCAATGAAATAAATTTATTGTTGTATTTTAAAATTTTATGTATAGGAGCATTTGGTGTCGAGATTAAATTTCCGTGACGTCAGCTGATGGCGATCGGGCCCTGTGACGAAATTTGAAGTCAGCATGAAGTTTAGCTGATAACATTATTAACGCGTTGGATGTAAACTTAAGGAAGAAATATATAGCGAGAAATATCATATTTGAACCCAATGCTACACGAAAACCAGTAGGCATATCCGATTTATGTGTTAAATTGAAGCCTGAATTGAACAGGGGGTCAAAATGGCGTTGCACACCTTGTGTATCTAAACTGTACATAGAGGGGTAGAATGTT